ACAATGGACCCAACCCTAGTTTCTAAGTTATTCCAGCTTTGTGGGACACAATCGAGGCCGTTGAGTCAGGACCCAACTGCATTTTTGGATCAAAACACATCTTTCATATTTGATAACGAGTACTACCATCAAATTAAGTTGAAGAGAGGTGTGATGCAGATTGATCAAGAACTTGCCTTGGATAAAGCTAGTGCTCCTATTGTGACGGGTTTTGCAAGCAATGCGATTGGTTTCCAAAAAGGTTTCGCAAAGGCGATAGTGAAGATGGGGGGAATTGAAGTTCTTGTTGGAAATGCCGGGGAAATTAGAAAGAATTGTAGGGTTTTCAATTGAGCCAAGCAGAAGAAATCCATGTCCCGAATCTTTTAAAAATTCTCTTATTTCTGTGTTCCAAGCTTCAATAATTTCGTTTCCAAATACCAACGTTTAGATTTCCATGTTCAGTTGAATTGATAAATTGTAAACTTTTCCTAATTATTTCAGGTTTAATTTGTTCTTTGCCTATTGGTTTGTTTCATTTGTTTGGTGAAGATATGTGTTCATAAATGAGTGTAGATTCACACATGAGTGTTCTAATTTGATTTTTATTGATTTAAATAGATGAATTTATCACTTTTATATTATTTTCTTAGAAATAACTAGCCAAGTGTCAAATCAAAACATAAATGGTGTGAAATATTACTCCAAGATCATCAAATTATTACTACATGAGTAGATGGAGGGTAATCTCCCTGTATAACCATGGTATTTCCATTTGGAGTGGGATTCGCAATATGAAAAAAATAATAATAAATAAATAAAATCATTTTTAATTCTTTACACTTAGACAACAAGAGAAAAAAAAAAAATTTCCCGACTCAATTAAAAATAATTTTTTTTATTATTTTTATTTTAAAGTTTGATGTATGGATTGCAAAATTTCCCGACTCAATTTTATTTATTTTGACTTGACTTTAATATAAATGGTTTAAGATAGCATTAATTGGGTAGGGTAAAGTTTAGTGGTAGATAGGTTAAAACTGTTAAGTTTGAAAATCCTACGTGATTTGTGATTAGATCAAGATTAACTTATTCCAAATCCCAATAAATCAAAACACTCAACCTAAAATCATCAAACACTTACGAGAGTGATTTTAGTTTGTTTGTTTTTGAGAATAAACAATAAATTGACACAAACGATTTTTTACGTGGAAAAAACCACAATTGAAGAACCTTCAATTGTAATAAAAAACCACGGGCGAACCGCCACTATCAATCCACTACTGAAGAACGAAAAGATTACAAAATACACGGGCTTGTTACGACGATGTCGGTGAAAGATCTACAATAGGTGAAAGATCTACAATAGTCCAGTGGATCCATGTAACCTGGCTCTGATACCATAGCCTACTTATTTAGTGCATTGCGTCGTAACTTGACTGTCGCTCGTGACCGAATGAAATCCCAAGCTGACTGACATCGACGGAATAGGTGAAAGATCTACAATAGTCCAAAAACTCAGCTTGTTAGGTCCCTGTGTTGTCAAATCCGGAGACAAAATCTTGTGTTGATTCAAAACTATGTTTTTCTGTTTTTGTACTGTCCGCTCGAGCGGACTGACCAAAAACTGCATATGAATAAGCTGAGATGCGCTCGAGCGTAGGAGTTTCCGCTCGAGCGTAAAATCACACCCACCAGTATCTGTGCTTGCCCTGTCAAACTACTGTGACCTGCTAATCTACGCTCGAGCTCAAGAGTCTCCGCTCGAGCGGACAGTACAAAAACAGAAAAACATAGTTTTGAATCAACACAAGATTTTGTCCCCGGATTTGACAACACAGGGACCTAACAATCTCCCCCTTTGTCAATTCCCGGACAAAACTTTTCTAAACAAAAGTCCTTAAACACAAGCACTAGACAAAATTCAAAAACCAATACTAAAAATCAAGAGGTGAGACCTGAAACAAAAATAGATGATCAGACTGAGCCAAATGAATACTAAGATGAAATAATCCACAATTCATGAATCGTGTGAACTTGCACTTTTTTTTTTAAAAAAACGACACTAGAAATCATGAGCATAGCAGAAAAAAATATAATCAATGATCATAAGCTACATGAGAATGTACAACTCAAAATCCAATATGAGAGCTCATATGAAAAAGTGTGTGTGTGCAATCCATGAGAGGTCACTGAGCTAGAGTTAATCCTAGTAGTGATCGGATGGCTGGACCTCCAACATGAGTAACTCAACAATATAGTGAAAAGTCAAACCACTAGGAATCACGGGGTATTTGTTGAGTAAATGCGGAGGCTCCCCCTCAGTCAAAGAGTTCCTTTTTGTTTCTTTCTTGTGGGCACTCACTGGTGGCTTTCACTCTCAAGAGTATGGAAACCAAACCAGAGAAGAATGAAATCATAAAGGATGGCCTGGTTGGTGCCTCTGAGGTAGCCTTTTCCTAATGCCCGGACTTCAAGGAACTGAGGGAGAAACCGTGGAAGTGAAAACAGATGGTAGATGGTTAAGAGACTCAACATCACCCATGATATGCTAGTATCGGTCAATTCCACAGTAAAAGTACAAGAAACACTGTTAGTGGTCCATAGAGAACTTTGATCACATGTGCGGAAACCCCTGCAACAATTAATCTCAAGGATGTGTACAGAATGAGATCATGAGGTTAATGAGCATGGGCATTCAAAATGAGCTATGACGAATGAACAATGAGATCTTGTAAGCATCATGAGTAGGGTAAAAAAAAAGTTGGATGCAAGTAAACAGATATCAATGATAATGAGATTATCACATGGATACACGGGCCAAAAGATTATCAGAGCCAGGTTACATGGATACACGGGCCAAAAGCAACGCTGAGTTTCGCAGTGAAGTCAACGAAGCATTAGCTCGTCACGAATCCAACTTCGACCAAATCCACGGCACCCTCCAAACTGTTTTGACAGAACTCCAGACCATGCGAGTCTCGCAAAACACCCATTCCATCGATAACCCATTTGCCCCAGCCGAAACCTCTCATAACCAACCTCTTTCCACTACCCACAACACTCCAGACCGAAATCGCAACAACACCCCAGACCGAAACCACACACACTTGAAGCTATCCTTTCCTAAATTCAACGGAGACGATCCGACGGGCTGGATCTTTAAGGCTGAACAATACTTTGATTTCAAGAGTGTTACTCCTGACCAACAAGTTCAGCTTGCTTCTTTTCACCTCGAAGGCATAGCTCTCCAGTGGCTTCGATGGCTAACCAAGTTTAGAGGTCCATTAACTTGGAATGAGCTAACCAAGGCCCTTTTGCTCCGCTTCGGTCCCACCGATTATGAGGATCCCTCAGAATCCTTGACCCGCCTCAAAGCTCTCAAACCGTCGGCCTTAGCTCTATCAACCTACGAGAAGGAGATGCTAGCAATAGTGAAGGCCATCCGCAAGTGGAGACCATATTTAATCGGTAAACCTTTCATTGTCCGGACGGATCAGAGGAGTTTAAAATATTTGCTAGAGCAACGGATCGCAACACCGGCACAAACACGGTGGTTACCAAAGATCCTTGGCTATGATTATGTCATTGAGTACAAGAAAGGAAGGGAGAATTGTGGTGCGGATGCTCTCTCACGGGTTGGAGAACTAGAGTTCCTCGCAGTGTCCTTGCCCGTTGCCGATTGGTGGTCCACACTCCAATGTGAGGTAGCCAACGATCCATTCTATAGTCAATTATTGGAATCAATTCCATCACACCTCCAGCCGCAATATTTTTTACGTGATGGAGTTCTTTTCAAAGGAAAGTGCATCTATTTAAGTCCTACTTCGCCACTACTTCTAGCAATTTTGTCCACACATCACTCGTCACCAAGTGGTGGACATTTTGGCTATCATAAAACATTGAGCCGCATTAACGCAAGCTTTACTTGGCCTCACATGCGAACTACAATCAAGGAATTCATCAAAAATTGCGATGTCTGTCAACGATGCAAATCTAGCTATTGCATGGAATGAGATTTCAGGGAGGAGCTCGGCCATATCGGGTTCTTCAGGAGGGTCCATGGCAACGGTAGGTTCGAGGGTTGGTGACTCTTCAATCATAAACAACTGGGGTCTTTGACAGCGGTGACCCGGAGTGAATTTCTCATCGCAATAATAGCACAACCCTTTTTCGCGACGTTCACGTGCCTCTTGACTGGTAATTCGTCGAACTGGAACTGGAGCATTGGCCGAGGTTTGACCCACCTTCAATGTGGGTGGGGGTCCTAGAACACCAGCTGTGTTGTTTGGAGAAGACCGTGGGGTGAAGGCTGCCACTTGAGGACGAAAGGAGCTATTCCCTTTTTTTTGTAGAGCATTGCGCTCTTCAATTAGCCGTGCCGCTCCAATGGTGTCGGCCAAGGTACGGGGTTTCTTGAGTTTGACATCCAGGCGTATGTCGTCACGGAGTCCCGCAATGAAGCACCCAATCAAGTAATTTTCGGGCAACCCATCAACACGATGTGAGAGCATCTCGAAGGCTTCTTGATAGGTGGCCACTGTCGAAGTTTGTTTGAGGCGGGTCAAGGATTCTGAGGGATCCTCATAATCGGTGGGACCGAAGCGGAGAAAAAGGGCCTTGGTTAGCTCATTCCAAGTTAATGGACCTCTAAACTTGGTTAGCCATCGAAGCCACTGGAGAGCTATGCCTTCGAGGTGAAAAGAAGCAAGCTGAACTTGTTGGTCAGGAGTAACACTCTTGAAATCAAAGTATTGTTCAGCCTTAAAGATCCAGCCCGTCGGATCGTCTCCGTTGAATTTAGGAAAGGATAGCTTCAAGTGTGTGTGGTTTCAGTCTGGGGTGTTGTTGCAATTTCGGTCTGGAGTGTTGTGGGTAGTGGAAAGAGGTTGGTTATGAGAGGTTTCGGCTGGGGCAAATGGGTTATCGATGGAAGGGGTGTTTTGCGAGACTCGCATGGTCTGGAGTTCTGTCAAAACAGTTTGGAGGGTGCCGTGGATTTGGTCGAAGTTGGATTCGTGACGAGCTAATGCTTCGTTGACTTCACTGCGAAACTCAGCGTTGCTTTTGGCCCGTGTATCCATGTAACCTGGCTCTGATACCATAGCCTACTTATTTAGTGCATTGCGTCGTAACTTGACTGTCGGCGCCCCAATCCATTTAACCAAAATCTCGGTTTTGGGGCGGTAACGTCCCTTTTGAACAATACGGGTGTCCAACACGGCTTCAGGTTGAGGAAGGATCTCGGAAGTGTCCGAAACTGGCGGGAGTTGATGGGAAACAATGGTGATGGAACCGTCGTGTTTCTTGAGAAGACTAACATGAAAAACATTGTGGATTTGGGAACCCTCTGG